CCCGTGGGGCTCCTTTTTCCCCTTAGCTTGACGCGTCCTCCTCCGTGTTTTGTTGTTGACCTACAATCGTGGTCGCCGCAGTAGCGGCATGGGAAGTATACGTTGCCGAGTTATCCTTTCCAACTTCTCCCTGGGCATCGCCACCATCTGTTGACCAGGACGCTCCACCTCCGCTCTCGGTGGCTCCACCACTTGCGCCAATGTCCCAGGCTGAGATCCAACTAGATATGGTTGTGACGGTGCAGACATCACCATCACTTGCACTGCTCGAGCCTCTTGCGCCCGACTCGAGACTATTTCCCCCACAAAAACCTCCGATGAACCCCCAAAACCTTGAGGAGCAGGCGTTAAGGTCACCGGAGTTTAAGAAGGTCTAGAGAAACCCGGAGGAGGCCAACTCCGAACGATCGCACCGTCGTCTAACCATCATCGAACGACGGTTGTGAATTCTTTCTAGGAACCTCGTCCGCCATGGATGAACAGCTCCGAAGCTTTGCATACAACTTTTCGAACGAAGTCCCACAGACGGCGCCACGTCAAAACCTCCGACCGACTGGGAAACGGTCCGTCGATGCCTTCCTCGCCGGTAGAACGTCTTGCATGTAGAAACTCTCACACTGGAGGAGTTTTCTGGTGAAGAGCCTCTGATGCTTAAATGAGTATGTGTAGAAGATGAACTCTCGAAGAGTATAATGAAATCCTCAAAATCATAAGTCTCAACCCCATATATATAGGGGTGAGGTACCTGTTTGTAGAAGGCTGCCCAGATTGAGCTGAGCTGGTTGCCCTAGCTTCCCAAGCTACCCGGTCGTACAACACATATTGGAGGTGTGTCAAAGACAGTTTTAGGGGCCAGACCAATCAGGTCGTGCCACGCGTCCATAAAACGTGGGGATTTGTTTCCCCTAAGATCTTCTCGAAGGATCAAATGCTCGATCAAATCTGGATCAATCTGAGGTGGAGCACTGACTGCTCTAAGTCTGGCTTCTGGTCATTCACTCGACCATCTGCTGCTGCAAATTGAGTTCCACCAGGCTATCCGAAGGCTCTGGCTCGACCTACTCTTCCTGTACCGAAATCCCCTTTATGTTGTCCTCCAGTCCAGAGGCTCTTAATCCTGTGATTTTCGACCACGACCATTTCGTCCAACTAGGTGATTCGTTCAGTTTATTCGACCGTCCCACTTGACCGGTTTACTCCTTTAAGTATAGTATCCCATATCGCATTACTTACATTATAATATTAATTTAATATATAAAATATACTGTAATACCAGTTGAATTGATTGAATCTCGTATATGATTATTGAAAAAGTCAAACCATCTCATGTATGATTAGTTTGGAACACAAGAACATTATATATATATATATATATATATATATATATATATATATATAGGTAAGGGATCATATGAGAATAGACATTAGTGAAAGAAATAAGAATGATTTTGGTGCATTGGATCTACAATATGGATGGCCATGATGAAGTCAACATTACTTAAATGTAGTCAAAACTTCGATGGCATTACTGTAATTAAGTGAACACTATTGGATCAAATATAACAACTTAGGGCATATATGTAAATTTACCCATCATCAAACCAGTGGGTCCCACAATATCATTGCAACACCAACACATCTTTCCTCTCTCCTCTCCCCCTCTTCTCTCTCTCTCTCTCTCTCTCTCTCTCTCTCTCTCTCTCTCTCTCTCTCTCTCTCCCGTTCTATCTACCCTTCCTCCTCCCGATGCCGCCGGCACCAGAAACTCACCGGTCGCGGCCTGCCACCGCAACTGTAACGAGTCCGTCGATTATGTCGCCGTCGTCGTCAGACCGCTGCCGCCTTCCGTCCGCCGAGTACAACAACTGGTCCA